CCCCCCCCCCCCCCCCCCCCCCCCCCCACCCCCCCCCCCCCCCCCCCCCCCCCCCCCCCCCCCCCCCCCCCCCCCCCCCCCGCCCCCCCCCCTCCCCCCCCCCCCCCCCCCTCCCCCCCCCCCACCCCCCCCCCCCCCCCCCCCCCCCCCCCACCCCCCCCCCCCCCCCCCCCCCCCCCCCCCCCACCCCCCCCCCCCACCCCCCCCCCCCCCCCCCCCCCCCCCCCCCCCCCCCCCCCCCCCCCCCCCCCCCCCCCCCCCCCCCCCCCCCCCCCCCCCCCCCGCCCCCCGCCCTCGCGCCCCCCCCCCCCCCCCGCCCCCCCGCCCCCCCCCCCCCCCCCCCCCCCCCCCCCCCCCCCCACCCCCCCCCCCCCCCCCCCCCCCCCCCCCCCCCCCCCCCACCCCCCCCCCCCCCCCCCCCCCCCCCCCCCCCCCCCCCCCCCCCCCCCCCCCCCCCCCCCCCCCCCCCCCCCCCCCCCCCCCCCCCCCCCCCCGACCCCCCCCCTCCCCCCCCCCCCCCCCCCCCCCCCCCCCCCCCACCCCCCCCCCCCCCCCCCCCCCCCCCCCCCCCCCCCCCCCCCCCCCCCCCCCCCCCCCCCCCCCCCCCCCCCCCCCCCCCCCCCCTCCCCCCCCCCCCCCCCCCCCCCCCCCCCCCCCCCCCCCTCCCCCCCCCCCCCCCCCCCCCCCCCCCCCCCCCCCCCCCCCCCCCCCCCCCCCCCCACCCCCCCCCCCCCCCCCCCCACCCCCCCCCCCCCCCCCCCCCCCCCCCCCCCCCCCCCCCCCCCCCCCCCCCCCCCCCCCCCCCCCCCCCCCCCCCCCCCCCCCCCCCCGCCCCCCCCCCCCCCCCCCCCCCCCCCCCCCCCCCCCCCCCCCCCCCCCCCCCCCCCCCCCCCCCCCCCCCCCCCCCCCCCCCCCCCCCCGCCCACGCACCCCCCCCCCCCCCCCTTTTATCTCCCACCTCCAGGGCCATGCGTCGCCATCTATGCCTAAATAACAGCCTAGGCTTGAAACAGATGGCTACCAAATCCGTGAACATCGAACATGTTCGGCCGAGCATTCTTGGCAAAATAGAACGACACGTTCGGGTCGCCACAAACATGTTCGAGGCAAACCGAATAGGTGTTCGCCCTTGTGCTCACATCATGGCATGGGATAGACGATGCGGTATTGCATGGGATATACCATTAACGCATAATAACGGCCATTCCCCCAATCCAACCTTCAGAACGCCCATATCCTTCTCTCCCCACCTACACCTTCACCACATAGAACCTAAACATGAATCCTTGTACATGTACCTTGTCGGTGGTACCATGTACCAGACAACTGACACCCCAACTCCCAAGCCCTGAGCCCACCTTGAGGATGCCCATGTCGTTCCAGCTGTTCATGATGCCGTCCATGTATGCGTAGCTTACAAAGAAACAAACGATGCCGTCCGGCACGCACCCGGCCATGTCGACGAGCAGGCGGCCATAATTGCGCACGACACCGGGGTCGCTGCGCATATCAAAGCGCGTGCTGAGAGGCAGATGGTCGCTGGTGGGGGCAGGGCCAACAGGTTCAACAGAGTTAGTAAGGTTCAGGAATGACACTTTGGGGTGAAATGTGGTAGGAGCAGTGGAAGAGAACGCAGATAAAGTCCAGCCTCACCACTCACAATTCACCTTCCTTGCTTCATAGCTTGAGAACAAGAGGGCACGAAAAGTTCTCTCACATTCATCACCTCCTCATAGGATCACAACTCTCCCTCACCTCTCACACGCGACAACCCTCCCACACCCCTACGCATGGCAACGCTTCTTTACCTGCCACGTGTGACGACGAGCGGGCAGAGGCAGTCGTGCGAGAGCGACATGGAGAGGGAGCGGATGCAGACGGGGTGGAGTTGAGCAGGCGCGGGTACAGGTCGATGGGGCTCAGCATGCTTCTCGTTATTATCACACTCTGAAACCGCTCAAAGGTGGGCCGGATGGCCAGTGAGGCGTCCAGACAGCTCAGCTGCAGGCAAGGTGGGTGGTGAGGGGTGGGGCGAAGGGGAGAGGAAGTAGAGAGCTTGAGTGATCGAAAGGGGATATGGGAACAGGAGAAAGAGCAAGAGAGAGAAGTAAGAGAAGGAAAGAGAGGGGGAGAGAGAGCAAGATTGAGTAGGGCATAGGAATCGAGCTGGCATGAAAGGGAAAAAATAGCAGCGCCACCTCACCCAAAGCACCCTACCTACCAGCACCACCTCACCTACAGCACGGGGTCAGCTAGTTGCGGATGTCGCTCATCAAAGGGTTCGATGATGATGGCGAAGCCCCGCATGTACGTGCCACCCCACACACACCTGCACTGCAGCACCACCCTACACACAGTGACGCACCTGCAGCACGGGGTCAGCTAGTTGTGGCTGTCGCTCATCATAGGGTTCGATGATGATGGCGAAGCCCCGCGTGTACGTGCCCACGAGCGTGGCGATGTCACACACGCACTGCACGTGACCCATCTCGTCCACCTCCGCCACCTGTAGCGTCAGCACCAGCGACTGCAGGTGGTCGTAGCACAGCTGCAGACTCTTGCTCTCTATGCCCGTCGCTGCCTGCGGTGTGCAAGAGGGGGGTTATGCAGAAGGGGGGGGGGGGAGTTATAAGTCCCCTCAAGGCTCAAGCAGCAGCGCCTGCAGGCGGTCGTAGCACAGCCGCAGACTCTTGCTCTCTATGCCCGTTGCTTCCTGTGGCACACATGCATGCGGGCAGGGCAGGCATGTAGGAAGGTTCACACATGAATGGAACGTTCAGCCATAGCATTCCTGTCGTGGGATGTAAAGAGAACAAGTGCAGGTGACGCACGGAACGAGGGCCGCTGTATGGAGTGGCTTTGACTCACTCGCCTGCAGGGCATGCATGAAGGCGAGGGGCCCTTCGGACTCGACGCGCGTGGTGTTGAGGCGCGTCTGCAGGTAGCTGAGGAATCTGCGCAGGAAGGCGAGGAAGTGCTCGGCATGGCGGATGTTGCCCGGCATCGCCTCCTGTAGGATGTCCGCTGGCAGCAGTGGGTTTGCCAGCCGCATGTCCGATGCTGATTGGCGGGCTGGTGCGGATGGGGAGATAGGTGGGTAGGGTGAGTTGATGAGAGAGTAGATGGTTGGTTGGTTAGCTTGGTAGGAGTTGGGTGGGGTGACTGAGGGAGGAGGTGGTGAGATGGACTTTGTGGGAGGTGGGTGGGAGCGCCAAGGTGGTGGGTGTGCGAGGGGCAGGGGAGAAGAAACACAAGCGAGGGGAGTGGGACGACGGGAAAGGCGAGACAGCGGAGGAGGGAGAGGGGAGAATGGGGAGAGGAGAGGGAGGAGAGGAGAGATGAGTTGGAGCGAGCAGGGAAAGGGAGAAGGAGATGGAGTATTGTGCGTGAGTGAGTGAGTGCTGGTGGCAAGCAAATGGCATTGAGACCATATTCTCAAGCACCTGGCAATCTTCCTCTCTGTTCCTCGCGAGTGGCTATGGCAAGTACGGTGGGTGGCGATGACCTCACCTGGCAGGTTGCCTCTCTGCGCCAGTCCATCCACCAGTCGTTGGTACTCCTCCTTCAGCCTCTCTGCATCCTTTGCCTCGAACCTGACAGCCGCATCGCAAATAAACGTGCACTGCACCTTAGGATTGCGCAGCAGAATCGCAATGATTGCGCAATCTTGGGTCACAAAACGACTCTGTAGACCGCCACTCTCACTCTGCCCTTCCTCGCCCTCTTTTCCTCCTCTGCTGCTCCCTGCCCTCACCTCTCAATCCACATACCGAGGCGAACAAGCTTTCCAAGGACGCTCTCCCGCGTCTCACGGCTTAACGGTTGTGTTGAGCCGGGCGAGGTTCCTGTTCGCGCCATCAATGGTCTGCTGGCGCACGTTGACGCTTAAAGCCTCAATGCACACGTTGTCGATGCTGTGGGCCTCGTCAAACACCACAATGCTCTCCCGCTCCAGCTCCCGCGAGATTATCCCCGACACCTTGGGGTCCAGCAGGTACTGGTAGTTGTAGACCACCACGTTAGCGAAATTGATCATATGTCGTGCCAGGATATACGGGCACCACCCCTTCTTCCGCCCAAACACCCGCAGGTCCTGGAGCGTTTACACTCCGGGCAGCAGAGCGGCTTCTTGTCCTTTGCGGTCAAACTGGTCAAAGTAGGTGCAGACCTCGATGTCGGGGTTCTCCAGCGCGGCCGCGCGCACCCAAGAGGCCGTGCACTTGCGGCACCCCGCGTCCACGCTCTCGCGCAACCCCTCGACTGCCACCACCGGGTGGATGCACAGGTTCTTGCGCGCGATCCCTCGCCCGCCACCACCGGGTGGATGCACAGGTTCTTGCGCGAGCTCGGCCCCAGGGCTAATATCCGCGGGACTCCGCTCGCGCCTTTCCCCCCTGCGCTGTTTCCCCCCGCGCCGGCGGCGGCGGCGGCTTCCCTGCGAGCGCAGTCTGCTGGTAGGCGTGCAGCAGGCGGAGCTCGGCGAGCGCCTTCTCCATCTCGTGCACGGTGCGCGGGCAATACACGAGCTTGCCCGTGCCCTTGCGCGCCATCTGGTACGATGTGATGAGTGACAGCAGTGTGATGGTCTTGCCCGTGCCCATCGGCATCTCCAGCACGCAGTGGCCGTTGGTGTCCAGCGTACGTTTCAACTCCACCATGTACTCGTACTGCTCCGGGTAGATGTACTCGTACGGGAAGTACACGCCGAGGTCCTCTATTCGGAACTTTATTGCGGCTGCTCTAGCCCAGTGTAAGACTCCTGCGAATTTATTAGTACCAGTGAATCCGCGACTATAACTCTGCAACGGTGACTTGGCAACGGTCACTCCGCACCTACATGTTAGGCCAACGCATGAACGAGGCCTCAATGGTGAGTACGTTGATGCCGAATAAGCAGGCGGGTCGCCGTTATATGTACGGCTCCTGTGTAAGGGGCATCTTATGGCGCGTTTCTTTGATGGTCAAAGGTCGAAAAACTGCTCGAACATAGAGTGATATCCTGTCTCGCGAATCTCGTTGAGTATGGATGGCGACGTTCGTCAACATCAGGCCAAATCAAGGGAAACAAACATGGATATTGAACACACGTCGAGCTTTCAGTCGACTGCTCGCGATCACGTTTGCCAAGCGTGTTCAATTTTGCATACGTTCGATAATGTGCAGAACAAAAAAAACATCATAGTGCACGAAAAACCCCGCGGTTGTAACCGCAAGTCTCTCCATTCCATATATTTCGCGATACACGGGAAAATTTGGCAATGTGGTGCGGCTCCAGTTTGTTGTTGCCTTCGTTATATTCGCTACTTCTGTACTGGCAAATCCCGAAATGTGTACATACATGTCTTGTGCTCGACTGCGTGGTGCGTGATGCACACGAAACCGGACACGTCAAACAAACGTCTATCAGAAACGAATCCAGAAGTGACCGTCTGTCTGTCTGTCTGACACGTGTTACAGGGTGTTATCGAGTAACAGTCCCAAAAGAATGTACTTTCGCCAAGCAAGACACGCCCTAAACATGGCAGAGATTATTCATGCTGAGGCCTGATTTCGCTCGGAAGCTCAATTTGAAACGAGTTCAAACAAAGCTTCCAATTCCACAGCCCATAACACCTTCGCTCCGTTCCCTGAACGCAATTCTGCCTCTCATCAATCCGCAACGCTGCGTTTATGTCTACTCGTCTGCTCCATGTGACATGTCACGTCCGCGTCCGTCCACAGATCTTTCTGCCGTTTGCCTCAGGCGGCCGCTTCCCCAGCAGCTCTCGTCCCTTCCGCGCACCCATCGCCTGGCGTCACCTCCGCGACAAGATCCAAGCTATGCGACTCGGCCGCATGCCCGCCGCAAACGCCCTCTCGCGCCGTCGACGAAAGCCGACCTCTTGCGCTTGATTCGCCCAAGACCCTCTCAATCGCGGGCGCTTCGAGATGGTTGAGTGTGGCAGGCGGACAAACGGGTTTAGGAATGGGGACGGGCGGAGTGAGGAGGCGGAGCGCGGTCAATGGCGCGGGAGGCGGTGGAGATGATGGCAGCGAAACCGACGGTCAGGGCGGCGAGTTGCCACCGGCAGCTGTGGCGGTGGAGGGAGAAGCGTCGGGTGACGTGGCTGACGCGGCTGATACGTGTGAGTGTTTCTTCCCCTTGCTCACTCCGCTCGCGGCCACGTCGCCGCCCGTTGCGTGTCACGATCCCTCTTCACCCATCACCCACCCCCCTCCTGGGACACTATGGGACACTTCTCCGTCCGCTCCCAACCATTCCCCTTCCGCCCCCAACCCTCCCGCTTCGCCCTTCCAATCCCCCGCGAACCCGCCAGCGCCGCCCGCGACCATTGCGCCATATCTGGCGACGGTGCAGGGCGTGGGGGCGGGGCGGTAGCGGAGGCGGCGGCAGTACGGGATGTACGGGGACGACGTGGCGGAGGCGGCGAAGGGCTTCGAGGAGCCCGCGGACGCCGCGCACCACCGCCACCTCTACGCCGCGCACCACCGCCACCTCTACGCCGCGCACCACCGCCACCTCTACGCCGCGCACCACCGCCACCTCTACGCCGCGCGCGGGGTGGTCTACCAGTGGCTCGGCGACCCTGCACTCCGGGCTGTCAGGTAGGGACGATTACACAAGGGGAACGAGCAGGAAGGCAGGCGGAGAGAGGAACATAGGTTTGTGCGGAAGGTGGAGGCATGGTTAAGAGGGTGCACTTGTTCCCGCCACACCTGTGAAACTCCTTGCACTCTCCTTTCCTTCTCTGATACAATACCGACCCGTTGTGCTCAACCTCAGTACTTATTCTCTGCGCTAAACCTCAGTGCTCAACCTCAGTACTTATTCTCTGCGCTAAACCTCAGTGCTCAACCTCAGTAGTACTTATTCTCCGCGCTAAACCTCAGTGCTCAACCTCAGTAGTACTTATTCTCCGCGCTAAACCTCAGTGCTCAACCTCAGTAGTACTTATACTCTGCGCTAAAACTCAGTGCTCAACCTCAGTAGTAATTATTCTCTGCGCTAAACCTCAGTGCTCAACCTCAGTACTTATCCTCTGCGCTTACCCTCTGTGCTTACCCTTTGTGCTTAACCCCTGTGCTCACCCTCCGTGCTTATCCTTTGTGCTTACCCGCTGTGCTGTTCCCCGCATGTTGTCGTCCTGGATCCTGCAACTTCTCTGTGCAGTGGACGCGTTAGGAGGCGATGGGGAGGAGGAGGAGGATGAGGGGGAGGGTCCTTAGTTGATATGGGAGACACTGATGGTGCTGGGGCGGGGTGAGTCCACCGCATGCATGCATGCATGCACCGCTGCTCTCTGCTGCCACTGTGCCATGGCGCCATGTTTCTCCGTATGCTTTTGATATCTTTCCAGATTTTTTTTCATACTCCCGCATCTTCGGACACGAGTTGTTGTGTTACCATGTTTCATTGCATGCCATTGCCTTGCTGCCATCATTCGTGCATGCTTCCATTCATTACCTCACCCACACCACAACCCCTGCATACCCTGCCTGCCCCCTGCTGTGCTACCGGCAGGAGGCGACGCGTGGCACCCGGAGAAGCGCGTGGTGAAGGTGAGCGTGTTGGTGCGCGAGGCGAGCTGCACCTCTCCCGCGTCGCCAAGGAGCGCAAGCGCGCGCTGCTGGGGCGGCGCTACAACACCCACCGCGACGAGCTCACCATCGTCAGCGAGAGGTGCGTGCCACCTGATTGACCTTCAGTGATAGCGGCCTTAGCTGCAAGAGGACTCGGTTTTGGTCATGAGATTTCATAGTGCTTGCTCGTATGCATGTATGTGTGCATGTGTGTGTGTGTGTGTGTGTGCGCGCGCGCGCGCGCGCGCATGCATGTATGTGCTTGCGTGCCTGTGTGTGCGTGCGTGCATGTGTGTGCGTGCGTGCATGTATGTGCGTGCGTACATGTATGTGCATGGGGATGGTTGGCCATGTGCATGGACGGCGCACTACAGGTACCGCCACCGGGAGGAGAACCGCAAGGACGTGTTTTGCATTCTGCATGCGCTGATCGCCGAAGCAAACAAGGCAGACTAGCTCGCACCTCAGGACTGACTGAAGCTGCCCCCGTCACACGCTCCCAGGCCCTCTCCTGGGCGTAGATGTCATGGCTGCTTGGGAATGAAGGGTCCAGTCCAGGGAAAAAATTGGACTTCTGTCACTCTTGCCAATCAGGGTGAAAGTTCTCCCAGTGTAAAATTTTCGGCGACATTTATGGAATCAGGCCAAATTCAGATAAAGTTTGAGCTACACTAGCACATAAAGCCAAAACCCGTTTCTTCACCCACGCTGAATTGTCGTGCACTGCAGCAACGTGGCTGCTGCCATCCCAACGTGGTTGCTCCTGCTCCACCCTAATGTAGCCGACACACCTCCCCCATGAACACAGCAGCAAAGTCAAACCAGTGGACATGCTACTCCAGCAGGAGGCATCGCATGAGATGTCCTAGATTGATGTCGCCAATGCCCCCCGACCCGAAGTCTTTATCACACTCTGCTTCGGGAAGCCTCCTTCGCACTCGACTGTGCTCAAAGGAAGCCTCCCTTGCACTCAACTGTGCTCAAGGGAAGCACAGCCACAGCCTGCCACATGCACGAGCTCTGCCAGTTGTCGTCCCGGAGTGTGTTGCCGAGGGCTTGATGGAAGTACACGTTGTGATTCTCTGTGAATGCATGGTTGCTGCGGATGCATGGTTGCTGCGGGTGCATGGTTGCTGCAGATGCATGGTTGCTGCGGATGCATGGTTGCTGCGGATGCATGGTTGCTGCGGATGCATGCTTTACAGCTTTGTTGTAGTCGAAGCCTGTTGGACGGGCGAGAGGGGAGGAAGTCACTTAGGGCGTATCCAACTTCGGGTCATCGGCACTGTTCGGGTCATCCGAGATTCTTGGACGACCAATCAGGCGCATTTTGGTTATACTACTCGAATACCATTGGTCCTCCCATGACCCAAAGTGTACTGATGACCCAAACAGTGCCTTATGACCCGAAGTTGGATACGCCCTTATTGAATGTGGTGGACATACCAATCTACCGTTGCAATTCTGAAACCCATACCAGGAAGCTTGCCGCGGAAGAGTAGGTGCAGTTGTTTTTGAGCTGGAATGGTGTTGCTGGTCGTTAGTGAGTCTGCTGAATCCAATCCACACAGAGTTCCGTTGCGCTCGGGGTGGAGTCCGCCACGACCCGCATGCCATGCTCCACACTTGAAGAGGCGAGAGAGGGGGGGGGCGAGGCGCAGCAGCGGCGACGCGAGGTGGCGCGTGAGGACGGCGCGGATGAGGGTGAGTCATGGCGGCATGGCGGCACCTGATGACGTGGCGGCGCTTGCTGTGGCGGTGGTGGCAGAGGTGGGTGGGCAGGCAGCCCCGGTGCGCAGGCAGAGATGCAAGACGACACAGGCATGGCGTGGCTTGGTGCGGCGCCCAGCAGCATGGCGTGGCGATGTGAGCGACACGGAGAGGAAAGCAACACGGCACACGCAGCGCATGCCTGGCATTCCTTGGGAGCGGGGAGATGGGCGGAATGGGAGAGGGTGGGGTGGAAACAGACGGGAGAGGGGGGAGATTAGGGAAGTGGGGGCAGATGAGGGGAGATGGGGAGATGAGGGGAGAGGGAGAGATGAGGGGAGAGGGGGAGATGAAGGGAGAGGGGGAGATGAGGGGAGAGGGGGAGATGAGGGGAGAGGGGGAGATGAGGGGAGAGGGGAAGATGAGGGGAGAGGGGGAGATGAAGGGAGAGGGGGAGATGAAGGGAGGGGGGGAGATGAAGGGAGAGGGGGAGATGAAGGGAGAGGGGGAGATGAAGGGAGAGGGGGAGATGAAGGGAGAGGGGGAGATGAGGGGAGAGGGGGGGCCGCGTGAGACGAACGAGGCAGGAGCGGCGATGTGGAAGCATCCCGAGTAGAGGCTATGCGCGCTTGTGGGTGTGTGGTGCGTACAAGGTATTTCCTCACAAGCTAACTCATCGCCGCTGTTGGCGAGTTCACCGCCTGAGTGTGGGAGACAAAGCTATCAGCGCGAGGGAGGCGAGAGATGGGCAACGCGAGCCGCCATCACGCGGGATGGCAGGCAGGCGGCAGGTGCTCAATGCGACGGACCGGCGCGCGTGGGAAGAAGACATCAGCAAAAGGGATGGGGGGGCGATGGGAAAGGCGGCAGGCCGACGAGAGAGATGGTGGGCCGACGGGCTTGACGAGGAGTAGAGCAGTACGCGTGAGACACTCTGGTCGGTGTCACTACGCCTACCATACCTCTCGAGCAATCCACGAGTCAGCAGGCTGCAAAGAGCGCGCGGCGTGGCACACAAGGTTTACAAGACGGATAAAGCGAGAAAAGGGAGCGCTGTTGATGTGTGGCAGTGCGAGAAGCAAAAACGAGAACTTATATTTTTGTTTTGTAATTCGATGTGGGGATGTAGCTCAGATGGTAGAGCGCTCGCTTAGCATGCGAAAGGTATGGGGATCGATGCCCCTCTTCTCCATCCTTGTTTCCTTTTCTAAAACATCACACTAGCATGCGAGAGCCTCTTTTCGTCTCACAACGAAAGCGCATTGCTTGCCTTTCCTATCCGAAAAAAACTCGCGGGGTCATCCCCCTTGCCTTTCATCGCGCTCTGCAATTTCCCCATTCGCCTCCCTGTAGCTGCGCGCTTCCCTCGCCATGCGTCTCCCCGCTTCCCCCTGGCTGCACGCTCTTGCAGGGCTCTCCGCCGCCCTCGCGCTCGCCTGTCTACGTCGCCTCTTCCTTCCCCCCCTCCAAACCTCCCTCCTCTCCGCCATTGTTTCCGGAGGCGGAGAAGGCGGGGGGAGTGAGGGCAGGAATGCGGGGAATGAAAGGGGAATGGCACTAGGCGCAAGACCGTTTGATGACGCCGCAAGAGGAGTGGTAGGGGAGGTGGGGTTGCGTCGGGCAGACCTGTTTGAGCTGGCAGCAGAGGCGGGGCGAGAGTGGGAGGCGAGGCGCGGAAGGAATGGGGGAAAGGGAAGGGTGAAGAAGATGTGACACTATATATCCAGCACTGGATGATAGGTGGGTGGGTAGGTGGGAGGGTGGGTGGATGGGTGGGCGGTTGCAGTCTTCTAACCTACAACTCTTCACACGAGTAGTCTCATGTACATCTGCTTTTCGCTACGCCCACTCCGCTCTCCCGTTTCCCCTCGCTCCGCCGTGTGGCGCTAGCAGTGCATACAGTGTCAGAATATTATAGCTCATGCATATTGTGTAGGCTATAGTGGGGTAGCCCATAAGGGGTACAACCCAATTAGGGTTAGTACTTGTACCCAATTCATTCATAGTTCATTCATTCCTTGTTTCTTCTCATGGTATCGAGCAGGTTCCCTCGTGGGAACTGTTCCTAGGGCCCACCGTTTTTTTTTTTTTTCCTGCCCGGAGCGCACTCAGCCCCTGCCCGAGTCGCGCTCCCCTCTCTCGCGCCGCCCTAGCGGCCCCTTCGCGCCGCCCTCGCGGCCCCTTCGAGCCGCCCTCGCGGCTCTGTCGCCCTACCCTAGCGACCCCGCGGCCCCACCCTCGCGGCGCCGGCCGCCTCCCTTCGCGGCCCCGATCCGCCGCCCTCGCGGCCCCCCCCCTACTCCGCCGCCCTCGCGGCCCCGCTCCGCCGCCCTCGCGGCCCCGATCCGCCGCCCTTCGCGGCCCCGATCCGCCGCCCTCGCGGCCCCTACTCCGCCGCCCTCGCGGCCCCGATCCGCCGCCCTCGCGGCCCCGATCCGCCGCCCTCGCGGCCCCTACTCCGCCGCCCTCGCGGCCCCTACTCCGCCGCCCTCGCGGCCCCGATCCGCCGCCCTCGCGGCCCCGATCCGCCGCACTAGCGGCCCCGGCCCCTGCTCCTACGGCCCCGGCGCCTGCTCCTACGGCCCCCGCGCCTACTCCTACGAGCAGCCCAGCCGCCGAGCCGCCCAGCAACCGAGCAGCCCAGCCGCTGAGCCGCCGAGCCGCCCAGCAACCGAGCCGCCCAGCCGCCGAGCCGCCCAGCAGCCGAGCCGCCCAGCAGCCGAGCCGCCCAGCCGCCGATACGCCCAGCAGCCGAGCCGCCCAGCAGCCGAGCCGCCCAGCCGCCGAGCCGCCCAGCAGCCGAGCCGCCCAGCAGCCAAGCCGCCGAGCCGCCCAGCAGCCGAGCCGCCCAGCCGTCGAGTCGCCGAGCCGCCCTGCAGCCGAGCCGCCCGAGCCGCCCTGTCCGGTAAGAGCAGCGCCTCTCTCACAGCACTGCCCTCACCCTACTGTTTGCACTGCTAGTCTACTGCTGTCATGGCTACCCCTAGTGTCCTCGCTTTTGACGCTGAGGGTCGGGCCATTGACTTTGACGTCTGGATAGATGACCTGCAGCTTTTCTTACAGTGCGACAGAGCAGACGGCCTCTCCCTCTTTGACCTCACTTCTGGTGCCTCTCCTGCCCCCGCTGCTGATGCTGACGCCACTGTTCGCTCACAGTGGGCCACGCGCGATGCTGCTGCACGTCTTGCTGTGCGTCGCCACCTACCTACCTCTGAGCGTGCGCACTTTAGCCAGTACAAGAGTGCTCAGACCTTGTACGACGCTGTAGTTGCACGCTACTCCTCCCCTGCCACTGCTGCACTGAGTCGCCTCATGCTACCGTACCTCTTCCCTGACCTTGCTGCCTTTCCCACAGTCGCTGACCTCATTACGCACCTCCGCACTAGTGACACTCGCTACCGCGCTGCGCTTCCTGCTGAGTTCTGCGCCAAGAACCCCCCCCCCATGTACATCACCCTCTACTACATAGTCACCCGTCTCCCTGACTCCCTTCGCGTAGTCAGGGACCACTTCCTCTCGGTTTGCCCCACCACTCTCACCGTTGACCTCCTCGAGAAGGCCCTCCTAGCAGCAGAAAAGAGCATAGTCGCTGTAGGAGCCTCTCGTGGTGACCCTCGCACCCCCATCTTTGAGGGGTGTTCCCCCTCCCCTCTTTTGCCCTCTGTTGCCTCTGCTGCTGCGGCCGACCTCGCTGGTTTGGAGTCGGTTGGGGCAGCGTCTACCCCTAGCGGGAGACGCCACCCTGGCAAGGGCAAGGGGGGCAGGGGCGCTGGAGGAGCTAGCGGGGGCGGTGGAGGCGGCGGTGGAGGCGGTGGAGGAGGTGGGGGTGGCGGTGGGGGTGGTGGCGGGGGTGGAGGTGTAGGTGGCGGCAGTGGAGGCGCAGGCGGCAGCGGCGGTGGCGGAGGGAGCGGAGGTGGCGGCGGTGGAGGAGGAGGCGGCGGAGGAGGTGGAGCTGGTCGGGGTGGCGCTGCGCAGAGGGTCAGCTCCGGTGGTGGTCAGCGCCAGCAGCAGCAGCAGCAGCAGCAGCAGCAGCAGCGCACTCGTGACGTCCCCTCCCCTCAGCAGCTCCGTGAGTGGTACACTGCACGCCAGAGGGGTGGGGGTACTGGTCCGTGCACCTACGTCCTGCGCACCGGCGACCGCGCGGGTGAGCAGTGCGGAGGTGCGCACTCCACCCAGCGCTGCTTTGGCCGCCTGACGGACGCTTGGCGTCACCAGTTCCCTGAGGCCACTGAGATCCCCCGCTGGGGTGAGCTGTCTAGGGCGGGTGTAGCTGTCTTTGACCTTGACTTTGATGCTATTCTTGCTGCCATGTATACTGTGACTATTAGTGATGAGGGTGACTGTTACCGGTGTTTTCCGCCCGACCCGGGCATTGAGACTGCTGCTCTAGGTACTGGTGAGGCTGCTGCTCTAGGTGCTAGCGAGGCTGATGCTCTAGGTGCGTCTGCTCCCTCAGGTACTGGTGAGTCTGCTCTCTCAGGTTCTGCGTCGGCTTCGGCCTCCCACACCTTCACCCTTGACTCGGGGGCTTCTCGCTCCTTCTTTCGAGACCGCACCACACTCACGCCGCTTGGCCGGCCAGTTGCGGTCTCTCTGGCAGACCCCTCTGGGGGTCCTGTCCTTGCTCACTTCTCCACTGTCCTCCCGTGTCCGGCGGCCCCCTCTGGCACCCTGTCTGGTCTTTACCTCCCCTCGTTCTCTACGAACTTGGTGAGTGGTGCTGACCTACAGGATGCGGGGGTTCACCAGTTCACTCCTGCGAGTCAGCGGGTGACCCACTGCACGGACGCTCGGACAGGCCGACACCTGGCCACGTTTACACGTCGGCCGGGGTCGAGCCTGTACACACTGACCACTGCGTCTCCTCCAGTCCCTGCGTCTGGTCAGGTAGCTGCGTCGGGTCAGGTGTTTGCTGCAGCGTCCAGGTCTGGTCCTGAGTCTGCCCCCTGCTCGTGTCGCCTCCTGTCTCACGAGACTCTCCTCTGGCACCACCGCCTTGGTCACCCCTCCCTGCTTCGTCTCCGGAGCATGGCCTCCCGTGTCCTTGTCTCTGGTCTTCCCCGGTCCCTCCCTCCACTTCCTCCGGGGCCTGGCCCTACCTGCGTCCCCTGTGTCGAGGGACGACAGCGGGCTACCCCTCACTCCTCCCAGTTTCCTCCGACAGAGGCCCCGCTGCAGACGCTTCACATGGACGTGTGGGGCCCGGCCCGCGTCCGTGGACAGGGTCACGAGCGCTACTTCCTGCTGGTGGTTGACGACTACTCGCGTTACACCACAGTCTTCCCCTTGCGCAGCAAGGGTGATGTCACTGAGGTGTTGATCGACTGGATCCGCGCAGCTCGTCTCCAGCTCAGGCGGAGCTTCGGCTCGGACTTTCCTGTTCTGCGTCTGCACTCTGACAGAGGCGGAGAGTTCTCCTCTGGCCTTCTGCGAGCCTACTGTCGTGCACGAGGCATCCGCCAGACCTTCACGCTTCCGGACTCTCCGCAGCAAAATGGGATTGCTGAGCGCCGCATTGGCATGGTCATGGACGTCGCCCGTACGTCCATGATGCATGCGGCTGCCCCCCATTTTCTGTGGCCGTTTGCGGTTCGGTACGCGGCGCATCAGATCAACCTTCAGCCCAGGGTCTCCATGCCGGAGACCTCCCCAGCCTTGCTGTGGACGGGGAAGGTTGGCGATGCGTCTGCGTTCCGTGTCTGGGGATCTCGCGACTTGTCTGCGGACAAGCTGTCCCCTCGTGCTGCTCCTTGCGTCTTCCTGGGTTTCCCCCCTGACGCCCCAGGGTGGCAGTTCTACCACCCCACCTCTCGCCGTGTTCTGTCCTCCCAGGACGTCACGTTCGACGAGTCGGTCCCCTACTACCGCCTCTTCCCCTACCGCACTCCGTCCCTTCCCCCGCCACCACTCTTCCTTGTACCAGGTCCCCCCCCGGTAGACCCCCTCCCCCCTCAGGGTCCTGCCCCTTCAGGTGTGTCCCAGGTAGACGCTGTTGAGCCTGTCGAGGTCGCTGGTGACTCTGGTGCTGCTGAGGGTGCTGAGCCTGGGGGTGCTGAGCCTGGGGGTGCTGACCATGTCGCGGACTTGTTGGATCGATACGGGTTCCTTCAGACGAGTAGGGCGGGGGCAGTGTCGTTTTGCACAGTCGCGGACTTGGGTGGTAAACGGACCGATTGTTGGGCATTTGTTCCCAGTCATGCGATGGGCGAAGCTTACTGCCGAGCACGTCAGCTGCACTACGGACAGGGTGGCTTTGCGTCGGATTGCGTGAACCAGGTATAGTGCGAGTGTCATGTCGGAAGCTGGAAGAAAGGAGAGATCCACTTTTGTGCAAAATGCTCGAAACTTGGCCCAGTATGGTTCGTATGTCCGGATCGTAGAATCGGCGCGTGACTGCGCGAGCATTTTGATCAGTTGGTCGTGTAACTTTGGGAGACAATCTGAACACAGGAGTGGACAATATGCATTAGTCAAATACCACTCGCAGTGCAATGATTGGGCTATGCGGTAGTCCCGTGCCCGAGAAGGCAGTAGAATGGGACCCTGTATCTAGGCATTGGCTTCCGTGTGTGAGAGGGATGTGCGCGTGGATGTGTGGAGCCCAAGTACATAGGGAGGGTTGCAAAAGTGGCCACCAACTTGCGCCTGGTTAGTGCGGGACTATTAATGTGAGTGATGCATGGGTGCGTTGTGCATGGTGGAGGACGGCT